CGGCTGCGCGGAGCTGCAACCCCTTGGAATCGAGAAAACAGGTCGCAAAGGTACTGCATCTCGATTTTTGCGATGCCCGGCTGCCCGCGCGGGCGGCCCCCGGTGTTTGTTCACCGGGAAGGTCTAGTACATGGTCACTCGTTCTGGAGGACTCTGGGGGTTCTCCAGTGAGCAACTCAAGTGCAAGATTGTCAGTATCCGTGGACATTACTTGTTGTGAACCTTTTGGCTTCACCGAACCTCACCCTGTTGTCAAGTTATAACCTTCAGGAGTCCCTTTCAGAAGTTGGGGCTTGAGATTCGCCACATCAGGGGACGTGTTTTTTCCAATTGCACGATATCCTTCTTCCACGAGGTATGCTCGCTAGCTCGGTAAATGGCAGTGAGATGCCGGCGCCGAATGAAGAATTGTTTGTTTCTATAACGTGTACGATAAACGAGTGAACAACTTTCTTCCAGACTATAACAACTATCCTTAATTGCAATGTAACAACATCAATAACCAACTACAATTACATCAGAAACATATGAATCAGATGCTTCTGTAGCCTCCTGGCAGGTGCGAGCATCATGTCCGGGACTGCCGCACACACCACAGCACCGAACCTTCGTACGCGCCTCCCCTGCACCACTACCCTTAAGCTGCATTTCTTGTACTCGCTCTCCACCCACCGCCCCCTGGCCTAGTATATCCTGTGCATCCTATACAGCAAGTGACTCTCCAAGCTGCACATGTGTTTTCTTAGCTCTCCGGCGCTTGCTTAGTGCCTCATTAGCCTTGTGGAGTGAAGAGACCTCTGATCGAAGAAGAGTCACCTGGTGCATCACAGCCGTTATACTCTTAGCAAGTTGGTTCACAGCAGCCAGCATCGAAGTCGGAGAGCTGTTTTGATGGTTGACAATACGAGTCTTGATAAACGTTGACTGCGACTCGGTTTCGCGGGGTTGTATAGTGTCTGGAACACCCAAAGGCTGTCGGGTGGCATCCCGTGAGGTCAGGGGTATTGGCGTACGAAGCTTGACATCCAACTTAGAAAGCACCCTTTTGGATCGAATAGCGCAAGGCCGGCCCCTGCAAAGCCACCCTGTACGATCTTCTCCGTCATAGAGGCAAAGAAGGCCTCGCGAAAAGCATAGAGGAACTCGAGCTTGCTTACATGGTTAATATAGGCGTATATCAAGTCCTTGATCTGGCGACCGTACGTCTGCTTCGGTAGCCCAAAGCAGCCTACATCGAGTGGCTGAAGGAGGTGGGAAGAATTGTAACGGTCCCAGGAGTATATTGCAACTAGCTGGTGACGACTCTACGAGTTTGTCTCGAATGGAGAGAGAAGAAGAAAAAGAGTGAAAGACTATGCAAGATATCTGCCGTCTTATACCTCCACATCCTTGGCTTGTGCGCTGATATCGAACAAGATAGAAGTCCACCGAATCTCGAGTGTTGGCCGAGTTTTTGCCGAGGCCTTCACGGGCCCAGCCCGTTACAGAATGCAGAGGCATACAGAGCGTGATGATGTTGAAGTGCTTGATCCAATCTAGACCTACTACATTAGTAGTCCACACATTGTCGGTGGTTGCGATGCGCCAGTCGGCCGGGAGGTTGCGCTCGGTATACCAGTTGGCGAGGCTGTACTTCGCGGCCAAGATGATGAAGGGGGGAATGGCCCAGCCGAGGGCATTAACTCCCTGGATAACCGTTGCCCATCCGCGGTTACCAGGCTGGGCTAGCTTGCCTTGCTCAGGCCGTCCGAGGTCGTGACTACCATACCCGCGAAGATGATGCCCATTATAAACCCAGTCACGTCGAAGTTATAGATGTCGTCAATCACAATACCGTAGTTGGCTAGTGTGTTCCGCACAAGTGCTAACCACTCGCCAATGACCTTTGGATCCTCGCAACTTGGCCCTCTGATAGTCGTATCTACGCGTAACGCGTTCGAAGCTTCGGCTGGCGTTTGACGAAGTTATGTGCCCAGCGCTTGTCGACAGGGAGCACGTCGCGTTCACGTAGCAGTAGGTTGGCCATATCTTCCACACCACGCAGCCTTGGTGGAAAACCTCGCGTAACTAGCTCAATTGCATATTGAACAATAGCCTCCTCTTCTGATTGTGTGAGCTTTTTGGAATTAAGCGTAGTATCGCGTCGCGCAGGCCGGCCCGCGCGTCGTCGGGTTAAGGTTATACGGTTAACATTGTAGATCTTGGCTGCAGTTGAAACGCTCAGGATTTTGTCGTTTTGGAGAGCCTGGAAGGCTAAGATTACCCTGCCTTCATCAAAAATAGCGGGCATGTTAAATGGTAAAAAAAGGTTGGTGTTGAGGAGAGAGGTGGCGTGTCGCGTTTAAAAATTGTTCACTCGCTTATGATGATCACTCGCTTATAATACACGTTATGATGATGTGATGCCTGAGCAGATAAATAACAAACCAACAAGTACCTCATTACATGCAAAAAGAAGTACAAAAAGGGACACCCGAAGATGGGATCTCACCTCCCCTTACCAACAGCCTCTCTCCCCCTTTTCATCCACCCCTTTCCCCCTCAATCCAGAACTAGCCCCTAAAAGCACCATCACAGGCAGGAATGATGTCGTGCATGCGCCGCTTAGTTGTTGTACACGGCAATGTACTCGGCCTCGAGGACGCCGCCCGAGGTGGTCGTGGGCAGGGGCGTGGTATTGCCGTAGTTCTTGTTGGGAAAGGCGCCGCCGATGGCGAGGTTGAGCAGGATGAAGTGAGGTTTGTGGACGGCCTGGGCCCAGGTGTCGGGGGGGAGGTCGGTGGAGACGATCTGGTGGAAGAGGATGCCGTCGACGAACCAGCGGATGGCCTCGAGCTGCTGCTGCGTCCGGTCGACCTCGAACGTGTAGGTGTGCAAGTTGCCCTGGCAGGGGGCGCCTGGGCACTCGCGGCTGTTGGGACGGCCGTCCGTCTCGAAGCAGGGCCCGCCCGGGTTGGCGCCGCAGTGCAGGACTCCCCACACCCTGTTGATGCCGTTGACGTTCTCCATGATGTCGAACTCGCCAATGCCGGGCCAGTTCCTGCAGCAAACAGCAAGTCAGTGATGATTCCACGCCTGTCGGGGGGAGAGGCTAAAATCTACCAGTATTGTCCCCTGTAGGCAGCTCCTAAAGTCCAGAAAGCAGGCCAGTAGCCGATGGGCTGCGGAACCGCAGGCAGGTTCAGGCTGGCCTCGATGCGCATCTTGCCGCCCTTGCGGCAGACAAAGTCGGCTCGCTGGGACTCGATACGGGCTGAGGTCCAGCCGCCGTGGCTCTCCCGGATGGCGATGATTTGGAGGCGGCCGTTTCCGTTGAGGCGCAGGTTGTTGGTGCTGCTGGTGTAGGCTTGAATCTCACCGGTGCCCCAGTTGGCCGGTCCGCCCGGGTAGCTGTGACCCGTATCGATGATCCAATGGGCCGGGCTGGGGAGACTGCCGGCGTTGCCCGTAAAGTCCTCGCCCCATGTTAGGTTGAAGCCCGGGATGGACGGAATGGCGCCCAGAACCAGCGGAAGGCCCAGCGCAAGGCCACTCAGGATGTTACGGAAACCCATTTCTCGGTCCTGTCCTGTTCTTGCTGGTCATTAAGTCTGGACATTATCTTCGAAGGATGCCCTGGTTCAGTCGGGGAGCTTACGTCGCGTTCAAAGTCCTAAGCACTTACAGCCTTTGTGAGCTAGCTTCAAAATTTCGCTTGATGGATTGCCTGCAGATTAGGTTGTCAGAGTGTTGGACATGGTGCCAAAGGCTCTCCGATATATACTCGATTCCAGTCATGTCAAGCAGACGAAGCTCTCGGTCGTGATACGCAGGGATCTCAACCCCGTCTCCAAGTTCCTCTCCAGTGTACACCGATGTGATGCCGCCCCGGGCCTATTCAAACGGCCCGTTTGGCAAAAGGCGCCGTCTTGGATGTCACGCATGAAGTGAGTCAAGCCGTTGAGGTCGCCGCCAAGATCAGGCTCATACTTGGCCTGTGGTGACGGGTCATGGTCCACGGAGTACCCCGGGTTTCCAGACGTTGGCTGTTACGGCTTATTTATTATCCACGTATAGCAGCTCATCGATGATGTCAACGAGTTCCTCTAGAGTCCGTTTGATCCTATCTTTATTCCTTGGTGAACAAGAGTGGTTGGGCTACAGGTAATAAGCCCTGGCAGGGTGATTGGGAGTTGTGATGCAACAGAACCCTACAACAATCGGATCACTTCACTTGTCCTCCTTTGCATGTTGGATCGAAACACTGCCGTATTATAACAATCTGTGGTGGGGTGGGGACGACTGAAAAGCTGCCTTTTAGGGGACGAATCCTATGAAGTGATCAGAAATACCCCTTAATCACCTTATGGTACAGGTTATGCCTCGTGTGCAAATACTCGGTGACCTTTCTATAGGATCAAATGAATCCGCTGAAGAAAAAACACGATGGGTAGCCCACTTCTGCCCAACTTCACCGTGGACGAATTGTGGTGTTTCTGTCCAGATAATTGCCTACGGCACTTAGGTCAGCTCCCGGAGCCCCGATCTCGAACTTCTCCTACATCGGGAAACCTGGGTCCGTGGTCCCTATCCGGAGAACAGGGGCCTTGATATTACGTTCCCGCTCGGCGGAACCCCTTCTTCTAGACATGTAATGCGGACGGGAATGTAGGTACCGTATATAGGTAGTGAGCATGGTTGGAACCGTGGAAGGGCTGTACCCCAGGTTCCTAAGCAAGGCTTACCGTTTACTCTTCAAGGAAGTGGTGTGCTAGGGACTCGAAGATATCCCGGTAACCAAATAAAGTCGAGACAGGAGTGTGACGAGATCACAGTCAACCGGTAGTTTGGCTACCTTTTGAATCGGCCCGGCTTGGATGCCAAGGCGGTCCCTGCCTAGGAGAGAATGCCAGAATCGAAGTATCCCACACCCCTGCCAAGTCGCGAGTGGTATCGCATGAACGATGTTTGTGATCAGCCGCAGCTGTCACCTGTATCCACAGTTATACACAGTAGTCGGAGTTAGTCGGTCAGATCTCATCCAACCTACTTCGATATCCTCACTTCCTCCAAGGCGCTAAGAGCCAGCTGCTGTCCATTTTTTGTACTCACAGTGGGGTAGCTGAAGGCGACTACGGCCCCGGAACACCTCGCACTCCAAAAAGGGCACGCACCAAAGACGCCGTCACGCCGAGCAGCCGACGCAAGCCCGGCAGCAAACCCGCAACGCCATCCTCCCACCGCCGCATCCTCGTCAAAAAGCACCTCGAATTCACACCGCTCGCCACCCGCGTCCTCTCCCCCCAGCACATCCTCTCCTCCCCCGTCTGGCCGCCGGTTTGAACGAGGCAGAAAAAAGGCAAAACCGGCCCACTATTTACCATCTCTGGGCAATGCAACGACGAACTTCACACCAGTACATCGCCAGAGGGCCGGAGAGGGAAGGGTTTGACATGCTGGGCGCTTCCCAAAGCCGGGCCGCAGGGTCATTGTTCCCAAGCTCAGACAAGGAAACAGATCAGACCGAGGACGAGACCCTTGACATCGAGAACTGGGGTACTATCAAGGTATCTTTCTTTCACATGAGGCGAACCAGGCCTTGGTCCCGGCCCGGGTTTCGGTCCGCCCGGAGCCATGCCGAGACAGGGATCACAGAGGGTGCATTGCATGGCACGACAGTGGATTGTGTGACGACGTGCATAGCACCGGAGACACTAGCTCCGCGAAGTTCCGCAAAAGTATGGCTTACAAGGCTTGTAGGCATCACTCCGTGGCCTCCACAGGTCCACGCTATTGGCCCGACAACGTCTAAGTTACCGTGATCCCTGCCAACGGCCCTTCGTTGTCTTTGAGTTCAGGTGCCGGACCAGAGGTAATAGATCACGCCCTTGATGATTCACTACCTTTCTAAGGCATTGCCTCATCAGCAACATGAACTAGATGGCTTGGTCAAAGAAAGCATCGCCCTCCGCCCCAGTCTGGAAGCCAAGGACTTGGGTCAGAAAGTGACGGCCGAGATATATGGGCATATAAGTGATGACCAGGTACGAGATTTGTTGTTTTTCTTCATGAAGCGGGAAAAGGTACACGCCATCCCAAGACACCATCTTAACGTTCATGAAACATATCATGGATGTGGCCCACGCTTACACTGGCATTCACAGCAACAAGCAGCCATCATGGACGGCAATGTGCTTGAGCAGCAGCAGCACTCGCCTTCTCCTTCCTCCGATCAGTACCAAGGCTCAGCCTCACTTCAGGCAGGGGAAAAGACAATGATCGAGCGAGGGGTCAAACTCGAGCCCGGCGCTGGCCCTACGCGTGGAAACGTTATCACATCCCGACCGCCTGTCAAACCGCGAACCGGAAGCTCACGCCCTAATTTAATGCGAGCCAGGTGGTGGGTACCAGGCGCGTAGGATTAATCCGCGCACCCGACCGCTTCTCACACAGGACCAGAGACGTGTAGCCCCCCCCCCCCGGGATTAAACAGGAACCTGAGGACAACCGTGGTATTGAATCTGGGGGTGTTACTACTCGCCGCAGAATCAGAAGGGAGACATCTGTCATCGATGAATGAGGCCTAGCTCATGGCTCGACATCGAACATGGCACAGAACTCTCGAAGGACGATCATCTTGAAGTGATTCTGCCGAATAACTGAGCAGTTTCACGTTCTGGGTATCCCTGTGTTTCTGGTGGCCGTGGACTATTGGCAAGGTATAGTGAAGTGAGGCCTAACTCTGTCGTCCTTGTGAGACATCGTTGATATATTTCTTGGCAGAAATTGAACAATGAAGGGCGCCTGTCAGTTTCCCTTCTACCTCACCTCCCTGATGTGATGAGCTTGTTAGTTGGTTGCGTGCAAAGGATGGACGCGCCAGCCGACCTCTAAGGTAACTTCGAGTTGCTTTCAACAGTAGGTATTCCAATCAAGACGAAGTCTTCAAGGTTCGAGAATTGTATGGCATGAAGGCCTTGAGACGGATTGGGACTGGACTGCAGGGCATATTCCATACCACTCCCGTCGCCATTTTGGCCCCCAACCTCCACGCATAAAAAGCTGGATGGGATGCAAGTCCCTGGTACCTTAGTACAGTACCAACACCAGGGTGGCTTAGCCGCGCGACCAGGGTTTCGACCAGAAGAGTCATTGGTCGATAGCCGACGGCGTCCATATTTAACCTAGGAATAAAGTTTCGTGCTGAGACCTTTCCGCCCAACCCAAATTTGCTCCTCGCAAACTGAGGAAAACATCAACGGCAGGACCCAGTACGATGAGATCGAGCGTCCTGGCTCTCTTTGTTTTCGGGGCCCTTGCCCGCTCGGCCTGGGCCACCGCCTTCCGAGAGTGGTACCCCGAGTATGCGCCCATCCTCCAGAACACGCTCGAGACGGTGTGCGCGGCCGAGTACCATGCCTGGGCGGCGGGCTTGCCGGCGCCCCCGGACAGTTACGCAGCCAACGGCACGACCTCGGCTGGGCAAGCCGTGGTGCAATGCATCCTCTCGACCACGTCCGAGTTCATGAAGTCCAACATGGCCTCCGCCGCCGTGCTCCTCGGCATCATGCCCTTTGCCCTGTCGGTGCTCGGATCCAGCAGCGAGGAAAGCGCGCTGCTGTATGTCATTGCGCGCCGGCCCCTCCTGACGACATTACTGCTGGCGGGCGCTCCCGTCGTGGTCGCGCTGCGGCCGTTTGAGTACAAGGACCCCGTCGGCATTCTCCGGGCGCGCGAGGGCCGATTCTACAGCTTCAAGCTCGGGCCCGACTGGTTCGTCCTCCTGCTCGAGTACACGGTGGCTCTCGCGTCGGTCGCCAACGTAGTGCACGTCACGTACGGGCTCAGCGTCGGCGTGACGACCATCATCATGCCCGACGCGAGCTACCTGCCGGGCCTGTGGGCGGTCACGGGCATCGTGGTCCACGTCATCGGCGCGCTGTGCCTCAAGTCGCGGCTGAAGCTGTTGACGCCTCGCGACGAGCCCATCGTCAACGCGGAGTTCATCCTCTCGGCCAAGAAGAACATCACCGTCGAGACGATCCCCGAGAACAAGGTCTTTCTGGCGCTGTCCTGGCTCACGTCGGTCACGACGACGTTCCACGTCATCTTCGGCACCCTGGCCTTCTCGAGCATGCAATTCATCTCGGTGCGGGATGCTTTTGGCGTCATCGGCCGCTTCACCGCCTCCGTCACCATCTGCCGCGTGGTGCTCATGTACGAACTCTCAGGGCTCCGATCATCAGTCGACGACGGGACGCAGGAGGCTCGACGGGACGGCGATGGCCAGGATCCCACCGATAGTGTGAAATACGGGCAGCGCATCTTTACATTTTCGCCATGAGTGGGCAAATATGTGTTACGGGCGGCATGGAGAGGGTAAGCATGCATTGTCGATGGTGGAGAGCCCAGTTGAGCAGAAGTTTCGCGCGGTGTTGGAGTTTCTAGGTTTGGAAGAGACTTGGCAGGCAAGCAGTCCTTCGCCTCAAATTAACGTCAAATTACCTACATGATTGAGCTGGTCTTAACTTCACCGGAGCACGGTACCATCCCTTGGGCTCCAACTACTAACCCAGAACACCACGAGAAGGTGCCAGCCAGCTAATCGTCCTGGATCAGCCAGAACTGTCTGGCTGATGCCTCCACCCAGGACACTTGCCCAAGGCTTCACAGACTGCCGCGATTGTGCTGACATTGCTGGTGGTGGTGGCACTGTGGTTCGCTGTTGTTCTTGCTGTTGTTGCTGCTGTTGCTGATAGTGATGCTGTGAACATTGGTGTGAGAAGAGAAAGAGGGGGAGATGACAAGGACGGGAGGGGACGGGCCCTAGTAATGCACACGAGAGATGGCCAGAACGCCGCGCTTACCATGGTCAGCGGAAAGCACACTGTTCCATCTGAGCTAAGTATTATCTTCCTCTTCCTTCCTCCAGGATTTGCCCAGCGATTCGGGGGCGATCACTGGACACGGCAAGGCCACACGATAGATGGCGTCGCCGTGAGACCCAATGACGCTTTGAACCTGTTGCTTGTGGCCCGCAGCGGACATGGACGACTCTCCAAGGCCACGCTTTCCTACACCTCCACCGCTTGAGGGCTGAGGTCCATCTCCAAAGTACCGCGCCAGGTGACATAGGCGTAGTTTCGGTCCGTGTGGTAGATGAAAGCACACGCGTTCCCGTGCCAGCCATCCCAGATCGCCAGACTCCGCAGCCTGGGCGTCCGCGGCGCCGTCATGCCGGCTCCCTAGAGCAAGGCATCGATTTCCCCCTGACGTATCCCCCCGTGGTAAAGGAGTTGCGACGTAAGCGCGAGGGACTCAGGCATGACTAACTCCAGGACGGCTGGCAAGCGCCAAAGAAATCTTCTGCCTTCACCATGTACGACACCGAGAATTGTTCAAGGTCGCGGCTTTTGGAGGCAAAGTCCGCGCCTATTCCCGGATCCACGACACGGGCAGCCTCCTGCGTCCGCATGGATATGGGGTTCTGGTTCCGGTCTTCCACTAGTACCGCAGTAAGACTGCCGCTGAAATCCTCAATGACTGAGACCTTCTTGAGAGTTGTGGGAAGATTTACGACCAAGAGTGGGAAACCTACAAATAGAGATTAGAGATGGAACGAGTGAAGGAAGGGGTGACAAGGTGCCTGTTTAACGTCTTACCGTGGTCATACCAATCCCTGAACCTGTTTTCCTATTCCCTCCACGGCTCGTAATCCAGGTGCTTATAGCACCCAGCTTCTCCAATAGGTGAATAAGGGAACCAGGGTCAAACGAGCGCCCTAGGCACCTGCGTAAAATGAGGCGCGTGATGCTACTAACTTGGGGAATCTTTGGGAAGGCCAGATGATTCCTCGAAAGGAGCCTTGGATGGCCGTCGCAGTAGGTGGGGCCACCCATTTATTGGCCGTTGATCCAGCCGTGAACCTGATCGTCCGACTTGCCGTTGCCATTATTGCCATCGGTATCAGACGTGAAATGGTAGTTCTTGAACCGGTGTTCTGTATCACTGGGAGAATAGGCGTCGAGCTCTAACGTAAACACCGTTTGGAAGGCCGTTGTTTGCTGCATGTTGCTGCCGCGCTAACTCCCAGGTGCCGAGGATCCGTGATAGCTTCCAGATCCCGCGGCTAATAGACAAGTTCTCTTGATTTATCCTACGCATTGACGCGTTGTTCTTGCAATGCTGGCACGAGTGCCTCGGTAGCTCGATTTCCAGATGGATATGATGAATGAGGTGCCGCTGCCGAACAGTTACACGTTTGAAGTCCTCGAGGCAAGACGGTCGTAACTTGAGCCGACGAAAGTCTTCCTTCGCGATTACGAGTTGCCACTCCTTCTTGACAGAGGCCAACGAAGCCCGGCCGGCGCGCTTCTGCTGTGCAACCTCCTTCAGAATTTTGTGGCGGATCTCGGGGGACAGGGATGCCCAGGGGCGGGATTTAGTCATCGTTGTGGCTCGAATCATCATTCCATGGCGTCGTCTGGGAACGCGGTAATTATCCGTCCGCCATAGTGGAAAGGAAGCGACCGAAGGCTGGAGGACTGCTGGGTGGTATAAACGTAGGTCCTATGGTAACAGGGGTTTAGTAACCATCAGACACAAATATGTGAGGGAGGATTAAGGGGAGCCGGCTGAACCTGGTCACTTGGTAAGTTTAACACCATGGTTTCCGATCACCACAGATTCCGACCAGGATGCAAAACAGGGGGAACCAAACCATCACCATTTTGATCAACACCACCACTATTGCCCTCTTAATGCTACCATAATGCAAGGTGCTTGCGAACAAGGTATTTCGACCTCGCTCTCTTCAGATGTATGCTTTTTAACATGGCTAACTTCAATCTAAGGCTCTATAGATGTATTCTATATTAGCAAGTAACTTATTTAGATTGACTTAGCGTTACATCATTATTCTGGATCTGAAGCTTGAATAGTAGGACGACAGCTTCTGGTCTTCGTTGTGGAAGTGACTGCAGTGGTTGAATGTTGGAATGACTTCCACGTTAATGACTGCAGTGGTGGTTGACACAAGTCGCTCTAATGAACCGTGACATTGACGTTCTGAAGGTGCCCAAAGGAACGGGAAGAAATGCCAGCACGCCACCTGCACCTGCCAGCTGGTAATAACCTGGAAGAATCCAATCTCTCCATTTTCTTAACAGGTGGTGTTCTGCCAGCCGAACTTGAGCGGAAATTCCTTTGCCAGGTTCAAGCACAGTGTTATCCTGCGTGACCCATCGTAATCTGGTCTCGATCCGCGAGTCAAGGTAGAGCTAGCATTCACGGTAGTTAGCGCCGTGGAGTCTAGACTCAATAGTCTGGAAACGAGCGGAGCCCCTACTCCATAGGAACGGAAGGATTTTAGCAATTTGAACCATCAACATCCATAAGAATGATGGCCCTCCCTCGGCTTGGCGGCGCTGTTGAGCGCTGGAAAAACGGGCACCGACTCTTGTCCCTCTTTACAGCCTGAAGATTAGTCATTCGTTAAATATACCTTCGCTCGTTGGCAGAATGAAGATAATCTCTCTCACGTTGGGCCTGGCTGGACTCCATCTGGCAGCGGCCGCTTGCTGCCGCAGCAATCAGTGTCTCAGAGGTCAGAATAGGAAACCTTGGTTGGATGTTGTGGAAGAGGATGGTCACTGACAAGTTTGCATTGGCAGCGATTCTGAATGCCGCTAACGGAATCAAGGAATGCTCCTCACTTCTCACCGTCACAGTGACACCGGATACTGTAACCTTCACTAAGACGGGTGACGTCCCGACGGCATACGAGACACTTGTGGACACGCATGCGGTCACTGTGACCGAGACGACGACGGCATCGATCGAAACCGTTGTGGTCGTCGTCAGCTCGGATGTAACGGCCTCTACTGAGACGCAACTGCAGCTTGTCACCCAGACCGTTGTGACCACCCAGACACACACCCAGACGGTGCAGGTTACGGGAGCAACGATCATCCCCTGGCGCCGACAGGCAGCGAGCGCCGAGTTGTCACCCGCGGTCCCCACCACTCTTCCTCAATGTCCGTCTTGGGACAAGTACGTCTCGGCATGCAAGTGCGCTGGCGTGGTGCCGACCACCGTCACTGCCGATGCACCGTCCATGACCGTGACTGTCGATGCCGCTACCTACACCGCCTCAGTCCTATCCACCGTCACCACCACCGAGACCGTGTTCGATACCGTCACGGCCACTCTTTCAACCACCGAAATGGATATCCAGTCCATCACCGCCACAGCGCTCACAACCTCGACAGTCGTCGTGGACGAGACGGTAACCATTTCGGTCACCCAGACACAGACGACCACGGCGCAGGCCGGCCTAATCACGCAGAATGTCGCCGCCTTCCGCGCCGTCGCCACCGACTACAACGCGTATCCGCTGTACATCTACGCGAACCAACTCAATGGCCTGACGGGCGGCATCTCATGGAACGCCTTGTCCACCAACACACAATCGTCCACTCAGAACAAATACATCTTCACCATCGACGGCGGCGGGCGCCTCCTGTTGGCCTATAACATCCCGCCCTTCACTTACACCTACGCGGTGTACGTTAACACGGCCACGACGGGCAGCCAGTGGCCTCAGTTCGGCGTGTTGAGCAACCTCCAGACGCAGAAAGCCAACGGAGCGCCAATCGACTGGGTGTATGGCGCCGTCGACCCGCTGACAAACCGGCTGTATCTCAAGGCCGCTGGCCGGAAAAACATTCTGTGGTGCGGAGTCCAGTTGTGGATGTCTACCGGCGCGGGGGAGGACATCAACCGTGGCGGATGCACCGTCATGCATCCTACCATCGCTCCGGTTGTCGTTTGAATGGCTCGGCGTGAGCACGGTAGCTAAGATAGGTAGAGGGTGCTTGTTGACAGTTACCAGTCTGACCAAACACACAAAGGGAAGATGATTGGGTCTGGTTGAATATCCAGTGCGGTGAACTCAATAAGTGGCATTTGGTAAGTCATTGCCATTATTAAATCAAGGGATTTGATAAGAACCGGACGGAGATGAGCCTCGTCATAGGTATCGGAAAGTGCTCTTCAGATCAACAACAAGCGCCAACCCAGTTACATTACCATACGTTTGCAACCTTGAACTCCTCCCTGATTTCCAGATACATCGACTCCATACCGCGCACCAGAAAACCCCCACCAAGGCTTCCCAGTCAACCCTGCTTTCCACTAGACCATGTTATCACCACGCGTGTGAGCCGAAGTCATAGGCGGCACATGATGCCCAGCTCCAACACCGTTATGATAACCATTCTGGGGATACCCATTCTTCGCCGAAGCCGCTCCGTCGGCACCGGCAGCACCATATCCCCAGCCAGCACGTCTCGTGAAAGTCGCCCCCTCCAGCTCAGCAGGGCCCCCATAAGGAAACGGCGCCAACCGGTTCAGAGGGATGTGGTTGTACCGCCAGTCCCAGACGGCCGCATAGACCATGCGGTACGACGAAAACGCCATGACGGTTCCGATGATGGCGCCGGCGAGAAGGTCGTACCAATTATGGAACTCATCAATCGTCAGCGCGCCGGCAATCAGGCAGGCGCCAAGGAGGGGCGCGTAAGTGGCCACCAGCTTCCACATGGCCGGGTGGTAGTTGGAGAACACCTTGAGCTTGGCGTTGAGATAGAGATACAGGAACACAAAGCCCGCAAAGGCGGCCGTCGCGTGGCCCGAGGGCATGCTCTCCAGCGAGTCGTTGATCTCATTCGGGTCGCCCGTGCAGATCTCGCGCGTGTAGTAAATGTCCTTGAACCCCTGCGCGTTGTAGCCGGCACCGACCACGCCGGGGGCGTTGCTCGCCAGGCTGATGTCGGGCTTGCAGACGGCCAGGAAATGCGGGCGCAGACCGCCGATTAGCCACTTGATGAAGACCTGGAACACGGCGGCGGTGATAAGCGAATAGAGCAGGCCGATGACGGCGTTGTTGACGTCCCAGAAGCTGCGGATGCGAATCTGCATGAGTAAAATGACGGCGATGGGGACGATAGACGCGAGGAATGCGGCCAGCCAGATGGGGATGATCTCCTTGCGCATGGGATAGGCAAACTCCGGGTAGACGACCTCGCCGTCCTGGAACTGCACGGCGAAAGAACGGGTTGGGGCCGGATCGGCGTTGTACACACCCAGACCAACGGCGCCGAGGGCGGCCATGGTCAGGATGTCGAGCCATGTCGCCTTAAGCCATTGCCCAAAGGGTGGTCGGGTGGCCATGGAGTACGACTCTAGGCCGCGCCGAGCGTGGGCAGCGGAGGCTCCATTGGCGGCGGGCGCCGCGGTTGTGGCGTCACGAGGGCGGCGGTTGAAGAAGCCCATCTTTGGACGTGTTTGAGCAGTGGCTCAGTGAAGGTGCCGTTGGTTTAAAGGGTCGGGTGCCGTGAAAAAAAAAAGTCGGTCTGCTCCTGGACTGTGGAAGAGAAGAAAAGTCAGGTGTTGCGATGAAAACAAGCAGCCTTCTCTTCCTCTTTTCTAAGTTGGCGAACGGATCTGTTTGATTGTCCAAGGGTCGTGTCATTATTTCAGTCCGTCGTGGCTTGACGTCACCCAATTGCTTCCAGTTGGCAACTCTTCCAGGCGACCAGTACCACGGAAGCTTTAACTGGGATATCGCTTCGACAAAGCTCCTGCTGATGCGCCGTTGAATGCCAAGTGACATCACCATGTGAGCGAAGCTTGGCAAACCTTGGCAGGGGAAACTGCCAGGCGGCCGTGTCTCCGATTGGCCAAAGCGCCGAATTTGGAAGAGAGTCTCGAGGCCCCACATCTCTGGCCAGAACAAAACAAACCACAACTGGCTCTTCCCATATGTCCCCGCTCGTCACCAACAACGACAAGCATGGCCTTTGGGATACATCCACTCTCAACGAAGGGCTCGAGACTTTGCAGCGAGGAGAAAAAAGTAATAAATCGAAGGGAAACCACGGGAGAGAGGCAGCAACAGGGAACATGAGCTCATGATCGGCATGGTGTCTAGCTTCTACATCGCTTGTGCACCGCAAGCGGTTATGGGACTGATGGAGTCTCAGGACGAACCGACTGCCTACCATTCTTCCGGTTTCACGCATGGAACCAAGACGTGTTAGGTAAGAATAGGACGCATATCTTCGTCCATGAGCCGAGATTCGCTAAGACAGCGCAACTGATTGCCCCTTTACACAGCTATAGCCTGATTATCCAACCATCATCATCAATCACACCCTCTAATCTCCCAACGGATAAGCATGCAGCACCTGGCCATAATACAGCTCGGCGTCCTTGCTCGCCAGAAACACAAAGCTCGGCGCAATCTCGCTGGGCTGTCCGACGCGGCCGATCTGCGACTTGCCGCCGAACCCTTCCATCTGCTCGGCGGGACGCGAGGCGGGCTGCAGCGGCGTGTGCACCGGCCCGGGCGCGACGGCGTTGACTCGGATGCCCTTGGGCATGAGCTGCTTGGCCAACGCCCGGGTGAACGAGACGATGGCGCCCTTTGTGGCCGCGTAGTCGACCATGCTGGCCGTGCCGCGGAAGGCAACTGTCGAGGTGGTGTTGATGATGCTGGATATGTCCGTTAGTATCACCTGACGGCGAAACAGGGTTCAATGGAGACTACGTACGACCCGCCCTTGTCCATGTGCGGCAGCGCATACTTGGTCATGGCAAACATCTGCAGGATGTTGCTGCGGAAGGTGCTCTCGACATTGTCGAGGTCAATCTCGGCGATGTCGTCGCACATCATCTGCTTGGACGCGTTGTTGACCAGCACGTGGATAGTGCCGAACGCGTCGACGTGCTTCTGCACGGCCTCCTTGCACTTGGCATAGTCCATCAGGTCGCCGGGGATCAGCAGGCACTTCTGGCCCTCCTTCTCGACCATCTTCTTGGTGTCCTCGGCGTCGGGCTGCTCCTCGGGAAGGTAGACGATGCTGACGTCGGCGCCCTCGCGAGCAAAGAGGACCGCGACGGAGCGGCCGATGCCGGAACTGAACTTGTTAGTGTCGGATACACCGAAACGTGTGAGTGTGACGCTTACTCTCCGCCTGTGATCAAAGCCTTGCAGCCTTTGAGCTTGCCGGCCGCGAGGTACTCGTACGCCTGTCCGGCGCCCTCGAGCTTTGTTGACTCGCTGGATGGCTCCATCTTCTTCTCGAGGCTAGATTCAAGAGATTATTAGAGGCAACTCTCATACACCACACCAGTTGAGTATGTCTCACCCAGGCAGGTTCTGATGCTGAGCCTTTTGCGGCACGGGCTCAAAGCTGCCGCCCTTGCTGAAATGAGAGTCGGACATTATGGCGGTGTTGTGTAAGTGGTGTTTGATTAGGTGGTTGTAAGGTAGTTTGACGAGCTTCCAAGTTGTCGGGAGACGATTTTGAATTCGATATGTTCGAAGAGCAGTTGAGAAGAATATTGGGTTCCTAACTCGCCGCTTAACTAGTTAAATTACAAGGTACTTAATGCTTTCATCGGTGGTGACGCACTTGAGCTTTTGAAAGCGCCGGCTCCAAACAACTCCAATGACGTCAACGTACAACGCCCACCTTCCACAAAAAGTTCACCATGATAAAATCGAACATTGAAAGTCTTAAGATTGATTATCATGAACATCATGAACTTGCTGCATGTTTCGATTTCAATGGCGTTTTGCATGCCATCTACTAATGTCCTACAAATAGACCTGTTGTTCTTATCACTCACCGATCCCTGAGTGTACATCCCAAGTAGTGGTACCACCATTCGACTCGTATCAACTCCTCGACTCGAGTCCTGTCCGAAGGGAATAATATGCTCATAGGGTACGTCAAGCCACATATTCAATGTTCCTCAACCCACAAACGGTAGATTTGGACTGCACGAACCAATAGAGAGCCTCGAGAATCGTCCCAACCATGTTGTCGGCTGCTTCAGCCGAGACGTCATCCGACACCAGCTCTGCATCTTAGCAGACATCCCGTATTGTAGCATTCAGCCCATGATATTCCACACCATGTTGGGAAATCAAACAGTCTCCCACGCGTTCGAGGAAGGAATAGCTTTTCGAGCCTTCGAGGGGTCCATTTTCAGCCAGGAAGGTTGCGTCAACGACCTGTGGCGGCACCTGTAGCGGCAAGTTCATCACAGTTCAGGCGGGTCTCCATCTAGACAAGGTCGAGCTGAATCAAAGCGAAGGTACCGACACCAAGGCCATGGAAAAACTGCACAAGATTGATCTTGAATTGGTTAGCGATAAGCCCCTTGTCCTCCAACCGGGAGAACGAGGCCTCCGGAGAATACGGCGGCAGGGAGGCCCTTGGGTACTCGAGCCCGAATTGCGAGGATTGATCGTTGGAGACGGTGGCTAAGTCCGGAGCAGCCTTGGGGTCCTCTTCCTTGACTGCGGCTTTTTCGCCTCCACATTCACGGCGATGTTGCTGAGAGTTTCCGGAGAAATAGGGGCCTTCGGGCGAGGTCGAATGTTGCGTGTTGAGATTGACAGCTGCAATGTGCTGCCGGACTTCGAACTACCGAAAGCCTGCGAAAACTGTCCAGGTCTCTGGGTAAGTTCAACGCGAAAACCCACGTGATGGAGCCTCTGGAAGATGATTCTCTCAACCTCCTTCCAATTGATTTGATTTCGCGGGTTTGGGCCTGGTCTTGGTAACGGTGAAGTCGACCTTGCCCTGTCCGTAGTGCGCTCGGATGTGGTAGCCGTCTACCTGGTGAACCATCGAATTGCCACCGTGACGGCGGCGATTTCGACGTCCCCTTCCTCGGTCCATTGGAGCGTTTCCGGTAACCTGGTCGAACGACTCAGCCTGGCGATTTTTATTCTTGTGATTTTCTTTTTGGCGTGTTTGCGGCGCCGTCACGTACCTGCTTCTTGTCCTCGCCCAGTTCTCCATGACCGCGGGCGGCGCCATAGGCAGCGTTGCGAAACTCGGTTCATGCTCGCTTTGGATGCAGACACCCGGCTCCTTCTTGATGGGATCCGCGCCCGATTGGGCCGCTGGCTGGTGTCGGCAGCCGTCGTTCCGGAGAATCGTGGGTGGTCAGCGAGGATAGTGTAGATGACTGAGAGCGGGCAGCCTCGGCCGCGCATCGATTTTTCTGTCGCCGGAAGTAGAAGGTTGGAGTGGGAGACGGTTTCGGATTGGAGGGTTGAGGGATGAAATGCTGTGGAGAGGTAGGGAAATGGCACAAATTCAAGCCCGACGCGTTGAAGAAAGTGAGGAAGATTGACCGTGTGAGTTGTGCCTTCTGGTGGCAGGCTCTGACCCGTTCCGTGCTTTCGAGGGAAAGAGCCTTCAGGCGGCAAGAAGCCTGAAATAGGAACTCAATATCAAATGAAAAGACCGAGTCCCTGAATGCTGGGCCTTATCCTGACCCCTTTCACCAGCAATTCAGACTTCATCTATGACGCCGGACGGCTGGGCTTTCAATTAATCAAGCGACAATGAACGGGACGAACTGGGCAGGGCTTGCATTGAGATGTTGAAGCTGACAATAAGGAACTTGTACATACCTTAGTGATGTTCTACTGACCTCTTATTCTACCTCCTTACCAAGCTTCTTTCCATCAATTTAAACCGTTCCCGCGTCGGCATTTGATGCCTGGTTGTGTGGACATGACCTGGCACGCCACTCACACTCGGCTGGAGGATATCTGACATCACCGAGGGCTTGTCTGTCGCCTGCAAGCAACATCTTCTGCGAAGCGGTCATACAATATTGGAAGCCAAATCGCAAGGGCTCCTGGCTGTACGTAATTGCACGGCACTACCTAGACAACCCGTTTCTCTTGGCTGACCAGATTGCCACATGGTGCCATGGTAAGGAAGTGAAGCAGCAAAGGTACGGGGTAATAAGAAATCACCTAGGCATTTGCCACACCAGGCGACACATAATGTGTGCACTTTGATTAGTGAAACCACGCGCTAGAAGGAAGCCCGGTTCCATGGCCGTAAAGCGGCACTCGCCATGCACATGACACTGGCTCGAGTACGCCACGAGCAGCTTCGTTCGTCAACGCCAATGAACACCATGCCGCTCTCAACAAGAAAGTGTTGTCCAGAGTGGAGCCTGGATGGGAGGGATGAAGAGAACTGCAGAACACAGTTGGAAATGAACTCGGGGTGCGAGTCAGATGAGCTCTGCCCACCAAGACGGCATGGGTAAGAGCGGGGTTACAATGGTGTCAATAACCGGGGTTCTAGACGAGGCAAGGCCACCATTCTGAGAGACACCAAGTGAATGCGGGAGATGAATCGGGTCTGTAAGGCAATGTCAGACCCGTATCTGTACCATGACGAGCCACTTCGTCGTCAAGGCTTTTTCGAGGCCTGGGCTTGATTTGCGGCACGGGAGCCATCGAGTAGCCCCAACCTCCCCAAATACAGAGGTAGGATTGGGGGAGACTTTTTCTAGCCGGTCGCAGTCACGGAATGGGTGTTGGAACGTCCGAAAATCGAGTGGTGCCAGAAGTGATCACGATGCCAGTGTATTTGTTCCGAGAGACAATGTCCGTTGACGCCACCTAGTTACCGGCAAATATGCATCTCCGAAAAAAGAAGCGCAAGAGCCATTCCCAGCCGTCTTCCGCAGCCATCCGTTTAAGTCATGTCGAGGCGTCGGTCGCGTAGAACGCACATCTGAGTCGAGTCAGCGGCGATCCCAGGGAAAACGATCGAATAGCGACTCAGACGTACCATCCTCCCTTCCCAAGCGCTAGCAGGCGTAATCTACCGCTGGGCGCTCCAGACGTTCTTGAGGAGGCCGTCGCGCTGGGCAAGACGGTTCAGAGCATCGTCGCTCTCGCCCATGGCCCGAACGAAACCCGACAGAGCGTAGATGATGTTCTCGCCCTGAATGGCTCGGCCGTTCTCGTCGACCTTGGCAATGGTAATCTGGCAGGAGCCGTGGTCCTTGGCCTTGATGATTCTGCCCGTCGCAGAGCACTTGCGGGGGACGTAGCTGGAGAAGAGGTTCGTGTCAGCAAAGCCTGGGCGGGCTGAAATCGAGGGTCCTGTCGGGCTTACAGGTCGACAATCTCGCCACGGTCGTTCTCCATGTTTGCGACTTGTTATGAGTGCTGCAGGTGACGGGTTCGGGGTTCGTTGCGGTGCCGGAGAGCAGGACTGCAGAATTTCAAGGCCCAGTCTCGAATTTCTGTCAGGTTTGGCTGATTTGGTGGGTGCGGTGCTGGTCAGTGCACAACTGAAGCCAAGACGGCCAGGAGGAGCCCGAATGAGAATCAGAAAAGCGGGTCCCTGCTGCGTGTCAGCTGATCGCGCGAGACATTCGTGGAGCGGCAGAGTCCCACTCAATCCAAACATTGACCCCTTTCCGTTGCTGCCTCGGTATGTTGACAAGGCGGGCAACCTGGAACAGAAAACCTCACGAGTCGCGGAACAACGGTTCTGCGGTGGCGACAATAAGGTTCTATAACATCAACAGCTTTCTTAAAACAGTCAAACTGCCGCTTTTCAGCGTTGCTTGCGCACAGATTCACCGCGCTGGGCGCATTGGCTTCCTTGGCTTCTTTCTGCTGGACAGACTGAGAATGGCCACTCGCGGCTTGCTCTCTTCGACTCCCGTTCAGATGGCGCACCGCGACCCTGTTGTCGTCATCTCATCCTCGCCCGATTTTCCTTCGATATGCGAGCTTCTTCCGAAACCGACCAAGAAACCCACATTGCGCAGTGGCAGCAATGCCGCACCAGTCCCAGAAGGCGCGCCGAGCGCGTTCACCACCGCGTCAGCCCTCCGGCAACTTGAGGCGAAGGATCTTGCGATACCAGGACGGCTGTTAGGTCCAACGGTCCTGTTGCCGCCGAAGCCCGCCGAGTACTGCATGGATGCTGGACCAGCGAGGACAAAGGGGAAAATACGAGCGGCTGGAACGACGGCAGGGAAGGAAAAGACTCAACATTTCAAGCCAAAGGATGACACACTCGGCACTCTGACAAACAACACGGTTGCAGAAGCCCCAGACAAAAAGGTTGCGCGGAAGCCGAGGCCGACCAAGGATGGAGCGATGGCGCAACCCACCATAACCAAGGGGAAGGTTACAAAGCCGGCGGCAAAGGATGCGCAGACCAAGAAGAAGCCAGAGATTGTCAGCAGGCACTTTCCTCCCAAGGTTTCGGCTTCAGCGGCTCCTCGCCAACCCCCCGTGGATCCGATACACGATGAGCCAGTCAGTCTCGAGCCAGCATTGAGGAGGAGGAAGGACTGGACACCTCCGCGCGAGATTGTTCATGCACCGCGCCTCGCGGATTCCTCGGCGGGGAAAGAACTCCCATCCTCTGCAGGACACGTCGACGGGGCTGTGTTCAGAACATTGCACGACACTTATGGACGAAGCGCGGATACCGATCTCAGTATCAGCACTGCATTACCCTTAGCGGCGGCCGAAATTCTCGGAAAACGGAAACTTATCGAAATGGTGACTCCTGCCGGCAAGCAGAAGAGTCCCGAGCCCTCCCCAACCAAACCCAAAGCATTGAAGAAGAAACCGCGGACGATCACGGAGCTGGCAACCGCTGCATATCGGCTGCCAGGTGTCGAATATGTTTCAGCAGACGAGCCACGGCAGGACTCATTGCTCGGCTACCTCGAGACCACAACTGGAGAGGCGGAACCAGCGAGCAAAGCTGCGGGGACGAAGCGCAGGGTTTCGAGAAGACCCGCAAAGCCGAAAGCAGAGCAGGCCAAGAAGAAGGAGCAAGCGCCCAAGCAGTTGCTTCTTTCACCTACGAGCGCCATGCGGCAGGTTGCAAAGCAGGATTTTGTGTTTGGGACCGCGAGCCAACTGGCCACCGAAGACGACCCGAACCTCCTCAGAGCGCTGCATGAAGCCATGAAAGCTTCGAACCAACCGGACAGCGATCCTTTCATCAGCCCAGACCCCGCGAAGAGCAACCTTACCAACTGCAAACGACGGGGCCCAGGACTCTGGGCGGCCGGAGCCAGATACGACGATGGGAACTCTCTTGACGTGAATGCGCTGGATTTGACGCGATCTTCACCCCTAGCGCAAGCTCTACTTGCGCAGACGGCTGCATGCGAAGGCCAAGAGCCGAAGGCACAAGATACAGCGAGCGACAAGGCGTGCATTGAGATCGAAATGTCTGAAGGCACTTTGGATATTAGTAACTCGCCGCCAGTTTCACTCCGAAAACAACTTTCTTCTGGCGGATGCCCCGTCAGCCAAGCATTCCCGCTCGGTGACTCCAGTCCCTCGGTCCCTGGCCGCCCGCAGACGCCGGCAAACGAAGCTGATTTTGAGCCACCGCCGAGCAACCAGGAACAACACCAGCTTCTACTGTCCCAGTCCGCCAGCCCACGCCAGGAGCCACCCCAGTTGCCGCCCCGACCAAACTTTGAGCTGTACACGGATGCTCGCCTCGCCAAAGAAGTCGCCTCGTACGGGTTCAAAGCGGTCAAAAAACGGGCCGCGATGATTGCGCTACTGAACCAGTGCTGGGAAAGCAAAATTAAGACGAGCTTAAGGAGCAAGACGGCCCAAGTGAGCATGTCGACGGCGACTACCACCCAGGCTGCCTCACCTTTGCGGCCGACAGGGCGGCCAAGGAAAGATTTTGTGCCCTTACCTTCAGGTGCTGCGACACAACCAGCGCCAACCATGCCTGGAAGGAACAAGTGTGTTTCGGCCAGCGTTCCCGGGAGCGCACCGCTGGTTGAGAAGCGGCCCCGTGGAAGGCCGAGAAAGGACGCCACTGGAGAGCCAGCTTCCTCGAGGCACGGGAGGAAACAGTCTGCCTCGGCGAGCGACGGGGAAGGGGTATCTCATGTCCAGCAACGTCCCCGCGGAAGACCCAAGAAGGGTCCAGTGGCATCACCGGTAGCAGGCTCACCGGCAAAAGCTCGGTCCTCTACAAACCTTGCCAGAGCAGCAGCGAAACCGCCCGCATCTGTCCCAACCACTCCCCGGCACCGGACAGACACCGCAAAGTCATCCATCGAAATCCCCAACTCCGACACCGACGATCTTTTCGCCTCAACACCAGCCTCCTCAGGGTCTATCCAAGACGACATCTTCTCCTCTCCGCCAGTCATGGACCTCTCGGTCACCGAAGACACCGAGTCGTCCCTGATGGTCAGCCCCACGAGTCAACAGGTGGGGCTCTTCCGGTACATCACGCAGGCCGTCGTTAGCGGGTCGCCGACGAAGGACCCGGCGAACCCCAGCTGGCACGAAAAGATGCTGATGTATGACCCAATTGTGCTCGAGGATCTGACGGCGTGGCTCAACTCTGGGCAGCTGGACCGGGTGGGGTACGATGGGGAGGTGGCGCCGGGGGACGTCAAGAAGTGGTGTGAGAGTAAGAGCGTGTGTTGTTTATGGAGGGTGAATTTGCGGGGGAAAGAGAGGAAGCGGTTTTGAGGGTGGAGATATGAGACGATGCTTGTTTGTTGGCGAGTCTTCGTTGGGGGGGGGTCGGATGTTCGCGGAGGACAGGATCAGTCTGACGATTAGAACGAGCGAGCGCCGTTTCCGCTTCTAGCTGTCTATATACGATGTATGAGTCCTCAGACACAAGTGATGAACTCATGCCGAAGCCTTGTTACATCAAGTTGCAACCTGACACCCCTCACTACGCTGAGCTCTGTGTGGAGCAGATCGTCCCCATTTCCCCGGATCTTGGATCAGCGCCGAGTGGGGCGGGTGTGGGAAGGTGCCGGGTCACAAGCCTCGGCTGAGCCTCGCGCCAAGTCTCAGTCTCTTTCCTTCCGAGGGTCCCTCTCCAGAACTTCCCTGCCACCCATTCGCTTGGTGTGAGGGGCCTTGTTGCAGAATGAGCGTCTCGACATTCATCTCTATCAGACCATCGTCCTTCCTCTTGACGTCGCAGTCACGAAAGCTCTGGGTACTCACCTGCAGGTGTCCGGTGGCGACAGCACGCTTTTCATCATCCGTATCGTATTTGTCTTACTGTCCGTTAAGCTTGACAGCAGGGATCGTCACACGCAAGAAATGCTTCGCGATTGAGCAAACGGCTATTTGGAGTAAGCGATCGTTTCTGGCAATGCCTACGACGGAGCAGGGACAAGGGGAGAAGAAGACGAAGAAGCAGCCGGCGCAGTTGCGGCCAAGTGCAACGTGTGTCTTCGGTCTCCCGGCTCGTTATTGATGATGGGGGATCTGGCTAACATAACGGCCAGCATTCTTCTCCTGTCCCCAGCAAACCAGGTCTTGCTCCTGCATAGGGTGCATACTTCTACTTCGTTCGCGTCAGCACACGTCTTCCCAGGCGGCAATCTCTCCTCATTTCATGACGGCCCTCTACCCACGCCAGAGAGCCCGGCCTTTCACGAGGATGGTCCGGCCTACCGGTTAGCTGCCATCCGCGAGATGTTTGAGGAAAGTGGCATCTTGCTCGCGAGGAAGTCCGGGGGCAGCTTGGACGAAGGGCTGCTTCAGGTCCCGGATGACGTCCGAGAGGCGGGGAGGAAACTCGTCTACGGGAATCAAGTGAGGTTTACGGAGTGGCTGGAAAGCCAGGGCGGTGAGCCCGACGTGGGTATGTGTCCGGTCCCTGATCGATCGGACTTCTGTTCCGAGGTCTGTAAGGCTGAGCATTATCGTCCTAGAAAACCTCATCCCCTTCACGCGCTGGATCACCCCCTACGGCCCCCCAAAACGCTTCACCACCCAAATGTACCTTTACATGCTCCCCCTCTTACCATCCGAAACCGCCCCTTCCGAGCTTCCACCCCTCCCAAACAACCAGCAGCATTCTAATACCACTGCCATCATCCCCACCCCAACTCACGACGGCGGACTCGAACACACAGCCGCCACCTTTGACGACGCACGCACCTGGCTCGCGCGGGCGCGATCGGGCGACATCATCCTCTTCCCGCCGCAGTTCTACCTCCTGCATCTGGTCTCCGACTTTCTGCAGCCACCACCATCCTCAAAGCCACCACCCTCCAAGCAGACACAACATCCCGATAATACTCTTTCTCTGAGAGAATACTATCAGTCCCAGCGCGAAGTCCTACTAACGTTCCTGCGCAGCGTCCCTACATCACAGGTAGTCGATACAGCGCGCACCGACACGATACCGTGGCCGGATAAGGTCATGAGTCCTACGTTGCTGTTCAAGCGAAAAGGGGATGGGAGGTTGGTGCTGGGGTTGGATAAGCCCGGGCCCGAGTTGAAGGACTCGAGCAGGGGCGGGGACTGGGAGAGGGTGGTGCTGGTGGATCTTCGGAAGGAGGGGCCGGGGGATGTGGAGGTTCGAGGGCGGGAGGAGGTGTTGAGGGAGGAGAACGGGGACGCGGAAGGGGAGGGGGCGAAGTTGTAGTGTGCAGGTTGCCTTAAAGGTTTTCCAGGTTGTTTTGACTTCCCGTCTGAGATATACCATAGGGCGCCACCGGCCTCCACGAAAATGAACGCTAGTTTGGGCCCATTACAATCAAATACTCCCTCAATCCGAGATATTTGAGCATCAAAATACTCTGGTGATTACCTTATACATATATAATCTTACTAGGTGTATCCTCCCCTAAGAAAAGGAAGATTTCTAACTTCGAAAAGGGAAGCAGACGGGTGCTACTTCCTTTAACAATATCTTAACAGGAAATAGGTCTACAATGAAAATGATCATCAAAATGTTCATTTACTAAAATGGATCTCTTGACACTACCTGAAGTAGGATTGATGTCGAAAATCTTAAGGGCCGGTATCTCCTAAAATGAAAATGCTCACCTGAGTAACGTTACAGTATCTTGCGTAGAGAGGTAAATTTAAGAATTCAAAGCGAGACCCCAATTCATTTTCTGACTGGTGCATGGCGGCCTTATGGTATACCTGTCCGATATAAGCGGCTGACGGACTTGTCCATCGGGATGATGTCCAATTTCGTTCCCTCCATGGACACACCATGAAGATGACAGGAGATTCCATCGTTGCGTGACCAGGCAAGCAGCGAAAGTCTAGGAGTGAACTAAAGGTAGGGTCCGGTCGGGAGGCACCCCGGGGGTGGCTGTGCGTCCGGTGCTTGGCATGGCTGGTTCTGCCTAACCATGCATACCGAATGAGAAGTACGGCGCTCGACGAGGAGTCACAGGCTGCACTTACCAAGTGAAAGGGCAGCAAAGGCCGCCTGCTGCCTGGTGCAATGATGTGTTCTTTTCTCACTAGCCGTTTGAATCACTGCACCCTGGCCCTGATACCTGGGAGGGTAAGCGCTATTGAACTGGTCTGCATTGGTCGCCTGCGCAGCCGCTTAGACTCAGCTGCTGGGCTTCGCCAGGCACTCTTCCCGTGCTCCAGGCCTCCATCGACACACCAAGGTATAAGGATGGGCCTCTCAGAGTCGCAATCCTGCTTCTCTTCTTTTCCTCCCATTCCCGCCATCATCATTTCCAAGGTAATTTTCGACAGACAGCCGAGATCCTCCTTTTCCGACTGATACTTTACCCCCTGACTCGGGGTCAGCTTGCCACCGAAGACCATGGCTCCCGGCGTCCTCTGCGACACTTGTTCGGTGGAGGAGACTCGCGCGAAGATAGAAGAGTTCGTTATCAACGGCAAGAACAAAGATGATAAGCCCGCAAACGGAGAGAAGGTGGTCAATGGCGACGCACACACTACGGACGGGGAAGTCCAACCAAACGGGACCCCAGCAGCGCCAAATGGCGAGGCCAAGCCGGAGAATGCCAGTGAAGGCGGAGGCGAAGGCGAGACCAGCGAGCCCGAGGACCAGACCATGAAGTGCGAGATCAAGCATCTCGACAGGCGGTACGACGATGACGACGAGACCTACTTCGAGGAGCGCAAGACCGAGGTGGAGAAGAAGCCCGCGCAAAAGGACTGGTGGCGACTGTTTGCCTTCTGCTCGGTCCGGAGCTATGACTCGGAGGGCGAGCTCGAGGGAACCAGCCTCTATGTCAACCCGCAACCGCTCCGCCAGCTGCTTTTCGACGTGATCGGCAACTACCCTGGGGACCCCATCGATGTGGACGACGTCCAGATCGACGCTCCCTACCACTCGCTGTTCCACTACCGGAAGCAGCTAGAGACGGAGGGCAACAAGCGCTTTGCCGAGGACCCGGAGTCACTCGAGCACTTACGCCTGCTCTTGAACTGGATCAAGACGCACTTCGAGCTCGACATTGCCGCCTACGAGCGGTGCACCACCCAGCCACACAAGGTCATCGCCTACGACAGGCTATGGACCCTCTTCCCGCCCGGCACCATCGCCTACTGCAAGCTGCTCTCGCAGAACCGCGCCTTCCGCATCGTGGACACCTACTACGACGAGTCCGACACCAACCCCTGCATGGGCTTGAGGGCCGACTTTGTCGACTTCGACGGCCTGAACCTGGGCACCCGGCGGATCGAGCTGGCAATCCCCAAGTACCAGGGCACGCGGGAGCTGAGCGAGCTCGGCACCATCCCGCTGGACCTGCTCGACGACGCCAGCGATCTGCGGGAGGAGCTGATCGCGCGAGGGAGGAAGTTTGAGAGCTACATCGGCTCCCACTTCCTCCAATACGACGGCATCGCCCTCAAGAAGACGCCCGAAGGCTACGCCCGCTTCACCGTCTCGGGTCGGGTCATGATCGACTGCAAGACGTACCACCGACTCGAACCCAACGACTCGTTCTTTTGCGTGAGCCTGAACGACGACTCGACCAAGATGGAGCGCAGCCGCAAGAGGGCCCAGGCCCACATGACGTTTGCCGGCGCGGATGGCGAGCGCAAGTTTGACAAGCTGTCAGACGAGAACGCCATGCTGACCAACGCCACCGTCCGGGGGTATTCGTTCACCGCCAAAAAATTCCTGGAGTTCTTCGTCGAAGAACTCAAGCCCATAGAGTGGAACACGCGCTGCTTTGACGAGCTGGTGCTCGACCCGGCCATCAAGAAGACGGTGCAGGCGCTGGTGTCGACGCACGCCCAGAAGCGCGAGAGCTTCGACGACATTGTCAAGGGCAAGGGCATGGGCCTGGTATGCGTGCTCCACGGCCCGCCCGGCGTCGGCAAGACGCTGACGGCTGAGTGCGTCGCCGAGTTTGTCAAGCGGCCGCTGTACATGGTGTCGTCCGGTGATCGTAAGTGCCCCATCCAGGCTATCCGAGACTCTCATTCCCCCCACACAACGACAGCATGCTAACAAAGCTCCCCAGTCGGAACCTGCAGCGCCGATCTAGACCGCAACTTGACCCGCATCATGGATATGACAGCGACGTGGCGCGCGGTCCTGCTGATCGACGAGGCCGACGTGTTCCTGGAGCGGCGCTCGCTGCACGACCTGCACCGCAACGCCATGGTCAGCGTCTTCCTGCGCGTGCTCGAGTACTACGCGGGCATCCTGTTTCTGACGACCAACCGCGTCGCCACCTTTGACGACGCCTTCAAGTCGCGCATCCACATCCCCATCCGCTACACGGACCTGACGGTCGACTCGCGCCGGCAGATCTGGCGCAACTTTTGCGCCAAGGTGCCCGGCGGCGTCGACATTGACGACAGAGGGTTCGAGGCGCTCGCCGAGACTGATCTGAACGGGCGGCAGATCAAGAATGCGATCAAGGCGGCTGAGAGTCTGGCTGCGTTTGATGGGGCCAAGTTGGATCTGAAGCAGCTGCTGCAGATCACGAAGATCCAGGCTATGTTTGAGAGCGATTTGACGAGCCTCAGCGGGGTGGACTACACGGCGCCGGGCTCGAGCAAGAAGGATGCTGAGAGCAGGAATATGTTCCTGTGATTTTCTTGTTTCTCTTTTACTTTCAGCGCGCTGCGCAATTTGGGTATCAGGTGGCCTATGGTGGCATTATGGGTGGGATCTGGCGACTATTTAGCGGGTTTCTTTCCACTTTTTAAGAACAATCAGCACGAGCCGCAAGGAGCTTTCTCACCACCGCTGGCCGAGAGCTCAGCACCTTGACTTCGCTCTGCCCGACAGCCTGTCTTGGGGATTTTTGCACCGATCTGGATCGTGATACCTTACCAGCTAGATGGAATAAGCTTAAACTTACACAAAATCCAACAGCGCAGCTGCAGAGCCCTCGTCTCCAAAAGCTGCGATTTCGATGAGGCCTCGAGTCCTCGTGCCGGCGATATGCATTCGAGCCCACCAAATGATCGACAAAAGCTGATATCCTCCATCTGGATACCTTCTTGCATCGAAAAACTCCCACCCCTTGCGTTCTGTAGCCGAGGCTTTGAAGCCGCCTCAATTATCACGCCCAAGGTAGGCGTCCGAACTTGTTTCGAAGAATCCAAGCCATCCGCCATCATTCGCAACGCAGGCTCAACGCCAACCGAAAGTCGCGAAATCCGCAACCGCCTTGAGGATTGTATGACCATGCTCCTGCGCCAGAACCAGATCTGATGCCCGATTCCTGATCATGTACGTCCAGCCGGGCCAGGGAACACACTCAATGCTTTGCTCCACGGAGAAACGGGGTTCACGCCGCGGATCAGGTACGGCATCTGTCGTATGTGTAAGCGTATCGAGAAGGAAGTTGTCATTGCTTTGCTGGGACTCGGTGTCGAGCTCCATGGTTTATGTGGACACAACTTGTGTCGTTTAATCGCGGGACTTCATAGCAAAGCTTCAATAACACTGGGCATTGAAGAGGAGGAAGTATGTTTCGTCGGGTCTATCTGGAACTTGAGATCTCTTGTGCTTGACGAAGTAAACCTCAGGTGTTGTGTACTCATTGTTGTTGACCAAGTTTGATGTTCGGGTTCAAGGTAAATGTCAGATCAACCCTAACTTGGTATTTATTCGCGGTCATTACGTTTCCCACTTTAACAACGGGGTTGCGGCGCCTCGGCATTCGCCATCCCGAACCATTACTGTGGTACAGAGTACATCGCGACCTCAGAGGGAGGCGGGATGGTTTCCACGAATTGAGGCCTTTCCTTTTGATTTTCCGGCTAGCCTAGGTGTCCAATTCTGGTACTTTGTGTGCTGTTCTTAGCTGGTCTTTTTAAACCTACTACTCAGCAGTCCTCCACGCACGCAATAGATTCCAATCTGTCGCCATCGACTTCGATCCTCTGTAAACCCACAATACCCCACCAGCAGCTCCGTCGAGTGGTGCATCCGGAGCAGACCCTTTGTTCGAACCTCGACCTCAACCTTTCGCGCCCCTCGACAAACACCACATGACTCTGCTACCGCAGTTTCTAACCCGCCTCATCCGACCCTTCACCTCAGCAGCGACAATGGCCGGCACCCCAGTGTCGATCCCTGAGGGCGCCGAGCGCGCGACCGTGGCCGCGGGCTGCTTCTGGGGCGTCGAGCATCTTTACCGCAAGCACTTTGCCGACAAGGGCCTGTACGACGCGCGCGTGGGCTACATTGGCGGGGACACGTCGAGCCCGTCGTACAAGGCTGTCTGCAGCGGCAACACAGGGCGTACGTTCATCCCTTCCTGTATCAGCCTGTGCTCATTCTTCTTCCCACCATGCGCCTCACTCTCGTGCTAGAATACCGGTGAACACGCTGATAACATCCACGCCCGTGCCACAGACGCAGAAGCGACCCTCCTGATTTACGACCCGACCCGGCTCAGCTACACCCAACTCCTCGAGTTCTTCTACCGCATGCACGACCCGACAACACCCAACCAGCAAGGCCCGGACCGCGGCACGCAGTACCGCAGCGGCATCTTCTACCACACGCCCGAGCAAGAGCGGATGGCACGTGACGTGACACGGCGCGCCAACGAGCAGTGGTGGGGCGGCCGGGTTGTGACCGAGATCCTGCCGGCCAAGCAGTGGTGGGACGCCGAGGGTTATCACCAGCTGTACCTGACCAAGAACCCGCATGGCTACGAGTGCCCGAGTCATTATCTGAGGACATTTCCTGAGTTGAAGTAACGGAATTGCTTGTTGTGAAGAGGAATATGAAATGGGTTGGCGTTCAGGCAAAGCGCAGGTGTCTTTTGTATAGGGCGGCATAATGGGGAGTTGAGTTGATACATTTTTGTACTGTTTTTGTGGTTATAGGTCAAATGACTACCTGGTACATGGCAACGCTCCTGGGTCCAGTGCATGGTTACACAATACAGAACAGAGAAAATACCGAGGAGAGAAAATTGTTCGCTTGATATCCCATCCACCCAGTCATCCACTCATCCACTCAGTTATCCCCTCCTATGCAACGTCATACCACTCCAGCCATCCCGCTCATTTCCTCCGGTTCTGCTGCATCATCAAAATCTGCACCATCCGCACAAAGATGTTGAGAAAGTCGAGCTCAAGGCTGATGCTCTCGTTGACGGGGTCCTCTTTGATGATGCCGCGCTGCGCCGCCCGGGCGTGATACAGCACCTTCTGGACGTCATAAAGGGTGAAGCCGCCAAACACGGCCAGACCACCGTACAGCCAAAGGTTCTCAGTGAAGGCCAGGGTGCGGACTGCCGTGGCGGGAAGCACGAGAGGCGCAAAGCCGGACACGGCAACGATGGCAGCGCCCGCGAGGAGGGGCCCGCCAATGTACATGTACTTGTCCTGCTTGGCAGTGGCGCCGACAAACGAGATGCTGCCCATCATAGCGAGGGTGTAGAGGCCGGCGCGGGCGAGCAGGGCGGGCGGAGCGATAGTCATCAGAGGAGCGATCAGGGCGGCCTGGGTGGCGTTGAAGGCGGTCCAGCAGGCGTACTTGGGGATGTAGCTGCATCGAGCAAATTAGCAATCCTCTTTGTCTTCCCGCGACAACGGGAGCACTCACTTGTCGGGGTCAATCGAGCGGGTGGCGATCATGCTGCCGATGCTGAGGGCAAGACCGCCGATGCCGACAATCCACGGGTTGGTCACCATGAGGCGGTACACAAAGCCGCTTTGAACCATCTGGTAGGCCGTCAGGCCGATGATGCCGACGCCGAGGCCGGTATGCATGAAGGTGCGGTTGAGATATGAACGCTCAAAGGGCGGCATGCCGCCGTCCTCCCTCGTCTCGCGGTTGAACATGGCGTTGACGGTTACGAGAGTGCCGCCGAAGATGGCACCGCCGATCATGAGCTTGCGGAACAGCTCCTTGCGCCGGACGGCCGGGTCGACGTAGACCGAGTCATACTGCGCCCGGTAACCGCGAGAGGCTCCCTGTAACCTCGAGAAAATGTTGCTTGAGGTCTTTGTGTTGGCGCGGAAGGCGAGCGAAGCTGTCCTTGGGGTGAAGAAGGTGTTCTTGGGAGCCGATTGATGGAATGCCCGCGCGAGCTGCGGCGCGTTGGCCGCGAGGCGCCCGGCACCTGCGCGAAGTGTTATGGTGAACATGGCGATGCGTTTACTTCTCGATGTTTGACGATAAGCCAATGTCTTTCAACAGCGAGTGGAAGAGAAGTTGGCTTCGAGTAAAACCGTTTGGAGGTGGAGGAAGCTTCGGATGCAAATGACGTTACCGTTGGTGGCTGGCTTATGGAAATCCCGGTGGCACAAGCTCCGAAGCTTCCAGCAAAGGTAGACCAATAACCCTAACCCTTCTAACTCCGCTGCAAGCTACTCTCGAAATTGCTTGATTCCTAGCATCTCGTTGGTTATAAAATAGTATTCTGCTTTCGAAAACAAGAAATCTGCTTACCATTGTCATATCTCATTGCTTACATTTTCTTTTTCGGTCATTCTTTCTTCATGCTTCAAACATCCCCTTCGTTTTCTCTTCAATCATTCTGTGGCTGTTCCATTGCCCCGCAGTGCCCCGCGGGTCAGGACCTGCCATGAGCTTAGCAAACCACGGCGAAGCAACTTGAGGAAGGTACGGAGTTCCTTACCTTCCAAATGACGGAGCTCCTTTTCTACGCCCATTGTTGACCGTCATCTACATCGACATGACTGATCACCGCCATTCCCGACTTTCTCTACGAGACTCGCCCATCAACCCCTTCACCCGTCGTTGGCCTGGCGCGATTAATTGGCAAGGCATCTTGCAATTCTCATCTTCGGCATCCGCACTCGGCTTGTCTTCTTGGCAGTACCTACCCGCCCGCCATTCTGCCGCTTCCCGTTGAGGTGGCGCCTTCCGGAAGACAGCTGCGCCATGTCTACCGCCGCAACCATTGTGTGCTGCTAAGTGCTGAAGCTACAGTACCTTGAGCTGTCTTACAGTACAGTGCCACCTGAGACGTGAATAGCCTGGTGTACCACAGAAATTGGAAGGATTGTGCCTGGCCTTAGGTTTCACCGGCAAGACGTCACAGCCAAACGGCGCTGTCCCGCAACCTCAACCCACATAGCATTCTCATGCTGAGAGGCGCAAGCTGAGCATTACGGTCTTTGACCGGCTACTTTAAACTACGAACCATTCCACACTATTCGACCCGAGCCAGTATCACGTCTCAGCCGGAGCCGAATCTGTTGTCCACACGCAAATATCCACTTTCAGCTCGCCATGTAAGTGGTGCCGAAAGTTTGGCCTGCACAGGCAAGAAAGCTAACCAAGTCTCCCGTCAGACGCCATCTAGATCAAACGTTGCACTCCTGTGCAGAGCACGACTGCTTTTACACAACATACCGAACAGTTCTCCGCTTTTGCCCGATACGCGCTGGACGCCTAGATAAAGCAGCCGTCCACATCGATCGACACCGATCCGTTCGCCTGTACCTTTTCCCAGTCGAAGAGTTCTCTGCGATACGTTGGCGCACAGACGTGCTCTCCGCCGGCTTTGACGACGACCAGGGCACAGAAGCGAGCGCATAAACTGAGTTCTTGGGTCCCGTGTGGGGAAGGCTTGGTCGGGCGGCAGCAGTGTAGCATGAAAGAGCTCCCGCCTAATCTCGATCTAGCCGGCCTCTCCGCAAACTACCGGTCAGCGGGAAGCGAGACGTCAGCTGCAATCTGTCTGCTACGCTGGATTGGGGCCGTCGAAACGTTCCAGACAGTGTCTCCAGAACCGCCGCCCGCCCTCGGCACCTGGGAGGTCGTCCTCGCGGCCGGCTCGAGAAGTGATGCGACGTAGTCTGACTCCCCCGGCCTCGTCGCCTTACCGCGCTCTGGCGCACCACCACGCACAGCACGGCACCTCGCAGACGGGGCAGCAGTCGCGTGACTCGGTCTCGTCTGTCCTGAGAACTTTCAATGTCGAGACGAACCCGACGCGACCTGTGCGGCCCTCGCCGCTGACTGCTTCGACCATCCCAGACATGCCCCTCGATCTGGTTGACCGGATCAGATCGTTTCCGCTCTTCATGTCTGCTCCCGACGACTTCCTCGCTGCCATCGGCGCCCACCTGAGGCCACAGATCCACTGCGCACACGACCACATACTCACGGAAGGGGACGAGGCGAAGGCCATGTATTGGCTGGTCCGCGGCATAGTCGCCGTCACGTCGCGCGATGGCGAGGCCGTTTACGCCGAGCTCAAGCCGGGCGCCTTTTTTGGCGAGATCGGCGTTCTCATGGACATGCCCAGGACGGCTACGATCGTGGCCAGGACCAAGTGTTTACTGGTCGTGCTGAAGAAGGAGGACCTGCAGGCGGAGCTACCCAAGTACCCGGATATGGAAAAGGCCATCCGCCAGGAAGCACAGGAGAGGCTGGCCATCCTCCAAAAAAAACGCCAGGAGGGAGCACAGATTAGCCATCTGCCGCAGACGAGCGCCGCAATGCTCGCGCGCGACTCAGTACCCGGCGAGGTGAGCACTGGAGACGTTGGACTCATCACGGAGGGTGCAGTAGTGAACAACAAGAAACGCAAGTCGCCCAGCCCGGGCGTGGTCGAGGATCCGGCCATCAGCGGAAGCGCCCTCGGCAGTGCCTATGTCAATGTCCGCAAGACACTCAAGGAACTGCCATTATTTGCGACCCTGCCCTCCGATATCCTCCATTTCCTCGGCTTGAGCGCGCAGCCCAAGTCGTATCCTCCTTTTACCGATATCGTGCGTCAGGGCACCCCCGGTAACGACATTTACTTTATCGTGCGCGGCGAGGCTGAGGTGCTGCAAGAGCCGCTGAGTCCCACCTTGAAGCGGACGGCAAGAACAACCTACTCTCGCCCGAGACTAAAACAGGGGCAGTACTTTGGAGAAGTGGCGAGCCTCGGTCTGTCAGAATGGCGGACAGCCACGGTGCGATCGGTTACGGACGCGGAGTGCCTCATGATTCCCGGAGATGTCCTGGACGAGCTATGGCGGAGGTGTCCGCCGGAGATCAAATCCCAGGTGGAGGAGACGGCCAAGGAGCGGTTCCGTTCGGAGGACGTTGAGATGAACGATGTTGGACTGAGCGTGGAGCAGCAGACCGCGCCAACACTCACGTTCACCGTCCCCTCGAAGCCTGTCTCGCCGACGGACGAGGCGGATACACGCCGGCCCTCAGACCCCGACCCGTTCTTGAGCGTGGACATGGAAAATCTGCGCAGCCGACGGCGCAATTCCCTCGCTCCTCCAACCCCGCAAACCGACTCGAATGTCATTGTCAACGGCATCAAGGTGACCCCGGTTACACCGGCCCCTCCGCTGCTGTCGCTGATCTCGATCGACGACTCTCCCCTGCCCACCAAACGCGCCCGCATTGTTCCCAATGTAGGGAAAGAGAGGCCAGCGTTTCCAGACACCGTGTGGATTGCTGTGTTCCAGCAGCTCGACCTCCTCGAGCTCATCCGGCTGAGAATTGTCTGCAGGAAGTGGCGCCATCTGCTAACCACTAGCCCCGAGCTGTGCACACACATCAACCTGGGCCCGTTTAACCGCATGGTGAATGACTGGTCCGTGACCAACATCCTGGCCCCGTTCATCGGCGGCCGCCCCGTCGAGATGGACATCACCAACTGCTTCCACATCACTGACGAAGGCTTCCAAGCTCTTTGGAAATCGTGCGGCAAGAATGTCAAGATCTGGCGCATGCGCAGCGTCTGGGACGTGTCAGCCGCGCAGATTCTCGAAATGTCCGAGTGCGCAAAGGGCCTCGAAGAGGTCGATTGGAGCAACTGCCGCAAGGTCGGCGACAACCTGCTGGCCAGGGTCGTAGGCTGGGTCGTGCCCAACCCGCCGCCGACCGTCGCCAAAAACGTCGTCATCGCCAGTTCCGCCAAGAAACCCCGTCGACAACAACCAACCCATCGCCCGCCGCCGTCCGGAGGACCGCCTCCAAACCAACTTTCACCCCCGCCGCCAGGCACCGTCATCGGCTGCCCCAACCTTCGCCGCCTGAACCTGTCCTATTGCAAGCACATCACCGACCGCTCCATGGCCCACCTCGCCGCCCACGCTTCCCCGCGCCTGCAGGCCCTGAGCCTGACCCGCTGCACGTCGGTCACGGACGCCGGGTTCCAGACCTGGGCCGCCTACCGCTTCACGTCCCTCACGCATTTGACGCTGGCAGATTGCACATACCTCTCGGACGCGTCCATCGTGGCGCTGGTCAGCGCCGCCAAGAACCTGACGCATCTGGATCTGAGCTTTTGTTGTGCGCTCTCGGATACGGCGACCGAGGTGGTGAGTCTTGGGCTGCCGTTGCTGAGGGAACTGAGGATGGCGTTTTGCGGGAGTGCGGTGAGTGATGCTAGTTTGGGGTGTGTGGCGCTGCATTTGAATGAACTCAGGGGTTTGAGTGTGCGCGGGTGTGTCAGGGTGACGGGGAATGGGGTTGAAAATGTGCTGGAGGGGTGTTCGAGGCTCGAGTGGCTTGACGTGAGCCAGTGCAAGAACCTTGGTGGGTGGTTGGTTGGTGGCGGGATGGAGAGGTGGGGGTATGATGAGAGGGGACAGGGTGGGGAAGCGGCGCAGGGCGCATGGGCAGTTGAGGCTGGCTCGGCTGGAGCGAGGGCTACGATGGCGCAGGTGCAGGTGCGGCCGCAGGCGCTGGCGCAGGGCGGCCTGCTCCGCGGAGGTGCTAAGAAGGCGATGCCTGGCATCAAGCCGCTGGGGCCGGGACCTGTGATGCGGCCCGTCATACCGCCTAAGGGGGCTCCGGTGCGGCGGATAAGGAAGCCGGTGCGGTTTGTGGTGGAAAAGGGGCCCGGCGGGTTGCGATGAGGGCCGGCCACAGGAGGCTGCATAACATGTGAAATGTTCTGTACAGTATGATATTGACGATTTGCATGTCGAATGTTGGCAGGTCTATGATGGAAGGAGTTTGGGTCGGTTGCATATGGTAAAACAACTGGGTACAATTTTTTTCGGAGACTGTACCATATCGGGATGGGTTGAATGATGATACCCGGTTGAATCTCAGTGCTGAGTCTTTACTTCATCGTCCCGGCACACTTCAACGTTTGCCTGGATGAATATCTTTGACGACCTAGGGCTTACCAAGCTGTAAAGCATCCATGTGGTATCGCGAGTCGGATCGGATGTCTATATCACGTTGTGAAAGCACAGGTTGATGGGAAACCACTGGCGCCCTACTCAGGAACTGGCGACGCTCAGCACCTCAGCCAGGTACATGACACGGAATAACCCAGCGGCTTTGCTGTAACAGCGAGAGGCGAGGGCAGCTTCTCACTGTCATCTCGGAGCATGCCAGAAGCCTAGACTGATCGATACGACTATAGAGGCTGCGGTGGTACGACTGAGTCAGCCAGCACCAGGAGTCTTAGGAGACCATATTATTATTCCTACACCGCTGTGCCCTTGGGCTTGCCGGACCTTCAACAACTTACTATACAGGAAAACCGCGCCCTCGTGGGCCGGGTGAAAACCCATATCGACAATCAAGGAAACGATCAGTGTGTGATCCTGCAAATACAAAGTG